GGAGGAGCAGGGCGGCGAACGTCAGGGAGCTGCCGGAGCTCAGGAAAGGATGCCTGCTCCCAGGGACCTGCTCGGTAACCTCGGGCCAACGAACCTCCTAGAAACTTAGCGATTGCTTTTCGCCGCCTGTCGAGTACAGGAGTTGGCGGGTAGCGCTCAGGTCTGGCACCGTCGGGAGTTTGCACCTGGAGGGAAACGCACACTGAGCTCCCGCTCCGGAGACTGAACGTTTGCGTGTCTGAGCGCTGCCCTCAGCGTGGCACAGGATGAGGGGTGCAAGGAGAGCTTGGCTGCAAACCCTGCGCGTTAGCCCGGGCCAGGCACTGCCGGGAGCCCGCGCCCCCAGCACAGGCAAACCCGGAGGTCGCGCGCTGGAACCGAGGTGCGGGGGCTGCTCAGGGCGCACCGCAGGGGCCTCGACATCGCTGAGCCGCGGCCTCTCGGTGGTGCACTGCTGCAGTGGCGAGAACTTGAATTCGGGGCTGGCTCAGCTCTGCCGTGAGTCCGTGGGATGGTACCAGAAAACCGCATTTAATGTAAGACATTTAATTTTCCAAGACTCATTTATTTACTTAGTCGTTTTTGGAAATGGTCTCGCTATGTAGTTCATGCTGGCTTGGTACTCGAGATCCTCCTGCCTCAGGAGTGCTGGGATTACAGGTGTGCGGCACCCCGCCCCGCTCCACAACTAATAATGAGTATCTCAAGATATAGAAATTATAATAAAGCCTCTTTAAAACATCAGCTACTTATATCTGCATTTTCTGATTCTTCCTAGAGTAATCAAGTCAGAGGATTATATGATTTTTATCTGCCTAGAGAAGAACTGTGGATCTACAACATGGAGACTGGAAGATGGTAACTGTATTATGGGACTAACAGATTCCAGAAAGATTGCAAGGCAAGGGGTGGTGGATATAGCCCGATGGCACAGGTCCTGCCTGGATATAGCCCGATGGCACAGGTCCTGGGTTCAATTGCCGGTACCAAAAAAAAAAGTAAGATTGCAAAACAAAAATAAAATTAAACCTAATGAATAAAAACAACTGATGGTGCTATCTGTACATTCGCAGTGTTCTACTTTAGCTTAGCTGTTCATTTTTGGAACAGCTGTCTCTCTTCAACACTTGTATAGTAATTCCTAGATACTTTTATGACCTTAAGAGAAATTTCTATTCAGGGCTCTGTAAAGTACCAAGAGATGGATGGAGGCTTCACATCCTGAGAATCAAGGACCGATTTCCACCTGCTTTTTAAAGCTATCGTAAGCCTTCTCTTACAGTGCCTTCAGTAAGAGCAGGGTTTGGTGTTAGAATTGTCCGCGTTTGGCTGGGTGCAGGGGTGCATGCCTGTAATCCTCAGAGGCTGAGGCAGGACGACTGCATGTGGGTAGCTGAGCAAGACCCAGTGCCTGTTGTTTGCCCATTGCTGGGACGAATTACCTGACTCACACAACTTTAGAGGAGGAGAGATTTACGTCGGCTCACTTTTTCAGTCCAAGCTGGGTCGGCTTGAGGTACAACCCGTAGTCCAAGCCCTGGCAGCCAGGAAGCAGCCAAGCGAGGAGCCAGGGTACAAATCCCCCCGCAACGACACCTGTAACGAACCTTTCCGACCGGATGCCACTTCCAAGCGTGAGGCTTGGGAACATTTTAGATCAAACCTAACACTATCTCAAAAACAGGCTGGAGATGTAGCTTAGCACTCCCTAGGTTCAAATCCCAGTAGTGAAAAAAAAAAAGATTTTTATCTGCTGGTAGTGCAGCTCTATGGCTGGAGAACTGGCTAGCATGCGTGACGCCCTGGCTTAGGTCTCCAAACGGGGCATGGTGGTGCGCGCTGTAATCTCAACACTGCTGAGGCAGGAGGGTCTCTTGTGAGGATGAGGCCAGCCTGAACTATATAGTGAGACCATCTCAAAAAATAAAAGTCAAAACCAACGCATTTTTAAAATATAACCTGAAAAGGTATTTTGCCAGTGAACAATGAACGTCAAGAATATGTAAAAAAGTTTTCAAAAATGCTAGGTTAGTGATGTCTTCAGATTTATAAAGCAGTTTTTCCCATGGTTAGTTTCATGAAGTTTCAATGTTTCACTTATTATACCTGTCTGAACCAGAATGGTCATCCCAGTTGATTTAAAAGTTAAACTAAAAATAAAGACTTCTATATATAGCAAGTCAGTGTTAATATGAACTTTTTCTAGAAAATTGAAAATTTATAATAGTACAATATTCCATCAATGAGAAACTCAACGTTTTTTAAATGGGAATTTCAAGTCTAAGTCTAATAAACTTCATGCTTAGCAAAGTGGTACCCATATTGAGTGTGAGAAGACCTTGGATGTATTGTTAGTCCTGTGAATATTAGATCCAGATTTTTTTTTGTAGTACTGGTTATTAAAGTCGGCCTTTGTACTAAGCTACATCTGCAGCTCTCTTGATTCTGAGGAGGTCTTGCTAAGTCGTGATGTTCCCTGGCTGGGTTAGAACTTGCAACCCTCTTGCCTGAGCCTCCCTGACGGCTAGGATTGTGAGTCACCACACCCAGCTCAGACCCACTTGTGGATTCACAGCCAGTACGTACAAAGCACCCAGGAGAGCCAGACGCATAGTAATAAATACGCTGGGTGTTTGCAGTATTACATAAGGGCCTGAGTCAGAGTCATCTGAATGGCTAAAAGGCAACTGAATTACGGCCATGTAAACAGAAAGCCAAGAGCTCCGTTAGGGAAACCTGAAGCGCTCCCGGTACTAACATGACTCCGAGGCCCGCAGGCCCTCGCAGTGTCTGTGTGGGTCCAGCTGGCAGCGCCCAGGGACTGGATGAAGAGGAAACCTCATTCCCCGAGTGGCCTTTCAAGCTCGGCGAGATCTCAAAGAACCGTGAATAGATGTGTGCGCTGCCTACCTTTTGGGACTCTGACCTACACTCGATTTTGCCCCCTCAGGAAGAAAATCAACACTGAGGGCGACGTGCCACCGTCCATGTCAGGAAGCTGTGCCGTGTGTGTGGACAGGGTGCTGTACTTGTTTGGAGGACACCATTCGCGAGGCAACACAAATAAGGTTAGGCTTTCTAAGAGTGTACTTCAAGGCAACTTCACTCTCACTCTCTTTCAAACAACCTCATTTCTCTTCCAGTTAAACAATACATGTCCTTTATTATAGCATGAATGATTTGAGTATTTTCTCTACCAGTCTGTATTTACCTAGCGCTTCGGAAGGTCAGCTTCTGTGGGCAGCCTGAACTCCGAGGCTGTGCTTGTGCTCTGCTCGCCCAGAGCCCCTGCATGTTAAGTGAACGTAGTAAACACACTTAGAGAGAACGTTACGGACAAGACGAAGACAAGGTACAAACGTGGCGGGAAGGGTAAAGACGGACAGAACACGGCTCAGAAAACCATACGGCTAAATTAACAAAGACATTCAGATAGCTTCAGACACTGAGGAAAGGCTATCAGTTGTTCTATTCATCCCGGTAAAAGAGATGCAGTTTCGGAAAGGTACCTACGAACTAGAGGCTCCTTCCTGTCCGGTTATTTGGCTGCTTCGTGAGCACCTTCCACGCTCAGCGCTCAGGTGGACGTGGATGGTGGACAGGGAACAAGGTCTCTGCGTGGAAGGGACAAGTTCAAGTCAATGGCTGCAGTACACCGATGCAGAGACGGGGCCTGGCGCGGCACGGTAACTCAGGATGCATTACTGACGCACAGTCCTTGCTGCCGGGTTTCGTAGGGTGAGGGAATGAACAAGACAAATGTCTACCCAAGCGGTAACACATGAATTAAATAATAAATGAGAAGGGAAGGCCCAGTGCAGACAGAAGCAGGTGTATCTTGTTTGAGGAAATGCCAGGTGGTGTTCTCGAGGGACAGATGGCTAAGCGGGCTTCAAACTGCGCTCCCAGGGACACCCGTGGGCGAACACGTCTGAGGCGGCTCTGGACTGATGCCGCTGCGCCCACTTTACCGAGCACGGCTCTATTTCTGTTTTTACATCCTGGGCTTTTGCTTATGATTTTGTTGGAAGAAAGGGCTGTATACTTAGAAGATTTGGGCTGTTGTTGAGCCAGGTGTTTTTCAGACCCAAAGGGGAGAAAAATAACCGACACAAGCTGAAGCAGACTGGGAAGGAGACAGACAAACTGGCTTTTGAGGATGGTCACAGAAACACTAGTATGTCGGAGGGTGAGGGTGGAGTGTTTAAGATGGACTAAAAGGCAGCTCTGTTCTGGAGAACGTATATATTCTGGATGTGAACCATGTGAAGCACAGCCAATATTTAACCTCTTTAAAGTGATTCATCTTTAGCTCCGACAATTAAGGATTGTGTACATTCAACCTGAGGACAGAACTAGTCAACTTGATTTTTTTTGGTAATACTGTCCTGATATGCAGAAATCTTAAGTGCCTATCTAAGGCAAGATAAGGAGCTTGTGCTGGAATGTAAATGAACACACTGCTGATTCATTCATTATGAAAGCGTGGCTATACAAAAATTGAACAGTGTTGTTACTGAAATTGGCTCTTTACTTTTTTTACTTTAAAGATAAAAGCACGAAAACACATTAACAAACAGGTTCTTTACATTCTGTCACAAGTTCATAATCTTGACTCATATCGGGACAGCAGCCAGTTTTGGTCACAATTTCGGCAGCACTGAATTAGACGGCACCGTGTTATAAGAAGTCAGTAAAATTGTATGCTAAACATAAATTTCTCTCACATAACCAAATCTAACGGAAATCATTGCTTTGGACAGTTCTACATGCTGGATTCAAGGTGCACAGACAGAGTGTTACAGTGGGAAAGAGTTGACTGCCAAGGAGCTCCTCCATCATCAAAGGACAAACTGGGTGTCTGGGTATATAAAAACAAGTGAGTTAGAGACACAAGCACTTTCATACACTCAAGTATTTATTCTCCATTCATATCACATGTCAAAAAAGAAAAAAGCCTTGTGTCCTAGCCTGCAGAGGTCTCAATTTTTATTGTCTTATTTTTTCATCAAATAGGTTAATATTTTTTGGAGGGTATGGTTATTTACCTGAAGATAAAGCACTGGGAACTTTTGAATTTGATGAAACATCCTTCTGGGTAAGTGGAGTCTATTTGCATATGGCTTACTTACTATGTTAAAATAATATATTTTATACTCGCTAATCATTATGTTCACGTACTTGGACAGGAGCTGTATCATTTCATAGGTATTACTGATAAAATGACTCGGATTTTTACTTCTCTGTAGAATTCAAGTCACCCCAGAGGATGGAACGATCATGTACATATTTTAGACACTGAAACATTTACCTGGAGCCAGCCTATAACTACTGTGAGTTCCTGAAGAATAATGAATTAGTAAAGATTACTTAGAGGAGAAACAGGATACAACAGAGCTGGGAGAGTTTATTCACTCTCACCATTTCCGGAGAGAGAAGAATCATAGCTTTGTTATTTTCCATGGAATCTAGAACTCAGGAAAGTTTAGTGAATGTATAGACACTGACATAAATGGTAGCTGTTGTTGCTTATAGTTAAATAATCTAGCTCTAAATTAGAACTTAAGTTTCTTTTAAAGGTTAGACTTCTTTTCCGTCTGTCAGATAATATGCCTGTCTTTATTTTAAAAGATAAAAATAAAGTAACCATTTTGTTGTATTAATCAGCCCATTCAGTAGCATTTCAAAAATATAAAACTAAAACAAACAAAATAAAAAACAAAAGTTCCTAGTTGTGAAAGTCAGCTTTTAGAACTACTACTAGACGTCTGCACTTCAGCTTTTAGGAGCAAGTATCTGGTATATTCTTACTCAACTTCCACAGATTATTTTCATAAAACGTTCACTTACTTACAGTTGTTTTTGTGGCTTTTGAATAGGGTAAAGCACCCTCACCTCGTGCTGCTCACGCCTGTGCAACTGTTGGAAACAAAGGCTTTGTGTTCGGGGGCAGATATCGAGTGAGTAGATCAACAGCTTTGGTGACTTGGTTTGAAATGTTCAAAATGGTAACTACCGCGTTTTTTTTAGGATGCTAGAATGAATGATCTTCACTATCTCAATCTGGATACCTGGGAGTGGAATGAGCTGTAGGTATCACTTTATTTAGAATTTTTTAAAATTAGATATTCTCCCTATTTCCTATTATTACTACCTGATAAACTTACCTAAATTTTCTTCATACATTTAAGTAAACATGCTCACTAGAGTCCTTAAGGAATTTTATTTCCAGTTTCTATAGCCATGTGCCTGGCACAAACTGCTCAACGTTTGGTGAAAAGAAGTCGGAAGTTGACTTTTTCTTTAACGAAAACGTAGCATAAGGCGTGTACCTCTTTGAAGTCTCCTTCCCTAATCTCACAGAGGTTTTCAAAGAAAGTGTAGTAGTGCGCTTCTCTGCAGTAAACACAGCAGTGACGGTAAGCGGAGCTACTGTGACCTCGGCTGTTATTTTCAGAATCCCACAAGGCCTGTGCCCGGTTGGCCGGTCCTGGCACTCACTCACACCAGTTTCTTCAGATCATCTTTTTCTCTTTGGAGGATTTACCACCGAGAAACAGCCACTAAGTGAGTCCTTTAAAAATATGTATTTATACATCATCCACATATATAAACAAACAGGTGAAAATAAACATATTTTAGATGTATCAGATAGCTCCAGGGTCGGTTAAAAGGTTTAGTAATTTTGACCTTATAATTGTATGTATCATATATCCTGCCTAACAGTTTAAAAAATGATCTGGAGCACTTAAAAGCCCCACTGAAGGGCTACAGCATGCAGAAAGCTTCCTTGGGTAACTGCAGAGGAATAAAAAGGAAATATGATCTGGCTTATTAATTTTTCTTGCTAAAGTTATCTCCTTTTGAAGAAGTAAGCATACTTCATAGATTTTCTTCTTTGTCTCACTCAGGTGATGCCTGGATTTACTGCATCAGTAAAAATGAGTGGATACAGTTTAATCATCCCTATACTGAAAAACCAAGGTACGAACTATATCTGAAAGGTAATTCTTAGAGTGAATTAGTGAGGCCCATCTATGTGCGAGATTGGTAAGAACTGAGGGTGTTTTAGCTGCATTACATCCATCATTCTTAAAAGATGTTGGTATCCACTAGGCTTTAACACCAAACTTCTCAAAGAAAACCAGTATCGGAGTATCAGATACTTTCTTTCCACTTCCTGTGGACAAAGAATAGAGCTAGATTCGTTACTTTTGCGTCTTCTGTTACAAAATTGATACAGATAAAATTTATAATTAATCTCTTTACCTGAGCTGAACTGTATCTAAGTTTGTCACTGAAACCAACAAACAAAAAACAAAGGGAAACAGGAAAATTGTTAAATCTTAAGAATGTACATGGAAAAAACAAACAAGAATAGATGTACTCTAGTACTGTACAGCAAAGTTTAGGAAGTCAAATTACCTCCCCCAAAAGCCTATTAATACTTTTCTTATAAATCTCAAAAAGAACTGCTAAAGGCAATGATACAATCAGCACTGGTGCTCAAAGAACATTCAGACATCACCCTGCATTTTTCCGCGGCGTCACACTCCAGGTCATGCCACTAAGACTTCATTTGGCACAAAAGACCTTTCCAAAGAATTAGCAGGCTCTGAGACTCAAGTTTACAGAGGCAGGGCTTTCAGAACGGGTCCCTCAGATGTTCTGTCTGCGCCAACTGGCCTTGCCAATGGAAAGAGGAAGGAGGAGGGGATATACTAATCAGACTGCTAGCAAAGACCCAGAGAACAGATCAGTCAGAGACAGAAAACAGTATCCAGATAAAATAAATATTGATTTTTCTACAGGAAGATTTTCCTTTTCACTGTGATACTTAGTCTCAACTATCGTCTAGTCTTTATTTTACCAGCTCTTCTCTATAGTGTAAATAAGTGACTAGCTTGGTCTTGGGTGACTTTAAACTCAAGTTTTTGTCTGAAATGTAGGTTGTGGCATACAGCTTGTGCCAGTGATGAAGGAGAAGTAATTGTTTTTGGTGGGTGTGCCAACAACCTCCTGGTCCACCACAGAGCCGTGAGTATACCACTTCATTTTATTACTGAGATTTACTTCTGAAGGTCTTGCTTTTAATGTGTTCATCTCTATTTTTCAGGCACACAGTAAGGAAATACTTATATTTTTAGTTCAGCCAAAATCTCTTGTACGGTAAGCAACTCTTCGATTTGGCAGTAAATTAACATTCTTAAAAAACTATTGATTATTTAAGGGCAATAATGAACCTTCACTGACATGCCTAATCAGTTCCATGAAAATCTTTAAAAAGGGTTTTTTGGTTGTTCAAGTTAATGTACTTATAACAGTAAAATGAAATTATTTTTCTCTTTCCTTGCCCACTTTCAGGCTAAGCTTAGAAGCAGTCATTTGCTTTAAAGAAATGTTAGCGAACTCGTGGAACTGCCTTCCAAAACACTTACTTCACAGTGTTAATCAGAGGTTTGGTAGTAACAACACGTCTGGATCTTAAGGCTTCCTAGATAATGCCTCTGATCGCCTTGCATGGACAACAATCCTGTAACCGTCACAGATCATGGTCATCTGTATAATATACTGCTGTAGTTTGCAACTATTTGGTTTTAATGTGCACGTGAATGGCCTAGAGAACCTATTTTTGTGTCTATAAAGTTTACAATAAATGTATTTCACATCAGTAACTGTTCTCTATTAAAGCAACAAATTAATGGTTATTACATCCTTTTTGGTAATAACTTCAGGCTATAGGTCTATAGAAACATAGTAAATAATCTCAGCATTATCAAAATAGAAGTTATTTTTTAAAAAAAAACACTAAAATTTTAGTTTTCTTATATAGCAAGAGTGTTCTTAATTATGGCCTAGCAACAGGAATGCAATATAGTAAAGGTTTGGTTTTTTTTTTTTTAAACACGAACTTCCAAGGTAAAACTATTCTCCATGGGACTAAGAACTATGAAGGGACCAAAAGGTGTGCAGTGCACGGCAGGCTTGCCGCTTTGGTGCAGGGGCTAGGGAGAGTGGGTATGTTGACTATAAGCAGGTGATTTGCAATCAGTTAAAAAGTAACCGTTCTGTAGATCATGAAGGAATGGACATAATGTATAATTTTACTCTCCATTCTGATAGGAGACAGAAGAAAGCTGAGTCAGGAGTCTGTAGTGGTTAGCCTAAAAGCGCACTTCTGATATTCCAGGTTAAGATATTCTGTAACATGCTATTGGTAACTACTAAAGACGGAAAAGAAAATGGTACAGAACTCATATCACAGGGAAAAATGAAGAGTGAAGATGTGTAAATGCACGGGCATGATCACTGCCAGTTTTTTCTAGGTGTTAATCGTCGAGTTGATTCATGGGAATTATTAATATTTACATCTGGTCTAATATATTTTTGACAAGGTTTTCAAGATACAACCCTGAATGTTTAATTGCCCCCACTCCCACAACAAGAACAAAAACCCCTTGTGATTGGCCTGTAGTATACATATATATTTTAGATTTTATATACAGTAGACTGCTTTGTCAGTAGTTTAAGCAAATCAAACCACGTCAACTATCCAATTTCTTTGTATCATGAAATGAATACTTAGTATTAACCTCTCAAATTTCAACAAAATGTAGAATAACTACAGATGTATATAATTACATTTAGCTTTTGGACATATATTTTAGGAAATCCTATCACAGACAGTTTTCCTCTATATAAAACTGGAAAAAACAAGAATTAAGTCCTTTTGGTGAATATAGCAAGGCAATGATTAGTTCATTTTTAAATGCGGAAGTCCTGTTACATGGTGTTTTCATCTTAACTTCCAAAAGGCTATAAAATTGATTCTTCTCATATATTTTAGGATTTCATTTCAGCTATTTCCTTTTTACATTCAGAAGGTTGGGTGCAGACACTTTCACTTTGCCAGGAATGTTTCTTGATAAATCTGTGTCCTAAAAAAGAAAACTGCTGAATATCTTCATATCCTAAATGATAAATCATGTTTCGTTTGTAACAGTTATCCTCTGCTGTCAAAGAAAGGCACTGCCAAGATTTTTAGCTGAAATGCCTTGACTTATTTTACTGCTTCTAGGAAGATAGCATTTTCTGTCAAAACTACAGAAAATAACTTCTATGATTCTTAATTATACCACCCATCTCCACTGAGGTCTGAAGGCAAATTTTACCTTTACACTGCGAAATAAATCCTTTTCTCTTGCTGTTGCTTCTTTGGAATGCATGAAACTATTCAAAGCTGTTTTTGCAGCTGTAAATAAAAAACAGAGAAAAAAGAGGAATCTACTTCTGTTCAGTCACTGAACTCTTTAATATCATAATTTAAAAAAAATTAAATACCTTTTCCTTTTTTCTGAACTCCAGGGGTAAGTTTCACTTTATATCTTTAAAAAGAAATTATATGAGTTAGGGATTATAAAACAGTTCATAAAAGTCACTGTGACAACTGTTTTCAGTAAACGAATGGCAACTTACTTGTAGTTTGTCATGGTAGTGTAAGGTGCACATATTGGAATGGCAAAGAGTACTATATCTTCAGGATGTGGACAGCCCGTCAAAGAATCAAACAGATTTTCCTACATAGGGCAAACAAAATTATAAAGGTAATTTACACTAGCCTTAAAGAGAGAAATCTCTAGGGGCTGGCAGTATGCCTGAGTGGTACAGTGCTTCTAGCATGGGTAAGACACTAGCTTCAGTCCCCAGCATCACAAAAAAAAAAAACAAAAACCCCAAGAAACAAAAAACTTGGGCCCGGGGATGTGGCTCAGTGGTAGAGCTCTTGCCTTGCATGTGCAAGGCCCTGCATTTGAGCCCCAACACAAGAAACAACCAAAAAACAACAAAAAAACCCAGAAGTATCATACCACGGTGATATACACACATCCATGTTTATAGCAGCACAGTTTTTAACAGCTCAATCTTAGAAACAGCCCAAATACCCTCAACCGACGAATAAAGGTAATGTAGTCTAAAAAACCCTGTCAAATAATTATCTCAACATTTTTTTTCATCGCAACGTATTTTTATCCTTTTCTGGCAAACATATATACTCTAAGTACCAACAGCAGTTGAAGAATGTTTATATCTTTTTTGGGGGTGCGGGTGGGGTTTCCAGTACCGGGAACTGAACTCACAAACTTGCACTTGCCAGGCAGGCGCTATGCCACTGAGCTAAATCCCCAGCCCCTGTTTATAAATTTCTGATATTTTTTTTGGTTTTTTTTTTTGGAGACAGGGTCTAGCCGTAGTACAGGCTGGCCTCGAACACATGGCAATTCTGCCTCAGCCTCCAAAGTGCTGGAATTATAAGCATGGGCCACCATGCTCAGCTAATTTTTACCTATCACAGTATTGAGAAAAATAATTTCCAAAATACCACATATTTTTAGAGAAAACTTCAATATTATTACCGAAGCAGAAAACACTGTGAGAATGCACAGTAATGACTACAAAGGGATTTAAGTCTATTGCACAGAAATGGGACTTACATTTGGCCGAGATCAGATATTCCTGACCAGGGATTTTGCTCCCTGCCTCAGAGGACACTGTACAACACACGGAGATGTTGTGGTTTTCACAATGAGGGGATAGACGTGAGGAAGCCGCGAGGTACTACTGACATCTAGTGGGTTAAGGGCAGGGATGTTGCTAACAGTTTTATATGAGACAGACCTGATGACAGAGAAATAACCCATTTCATGATATTAATGTTGCCAAAGTGAGAAGCCCGGGGCAGTGCTTTGTTTATGTACGGACTATCCTGAGCATTGATCAGCAAGCGTTATTTCAATCAGTCAATTCTCTTATTCTTTCTTTTTTTTTTTTTTTGTCTTTCTGAGACAGGGTCTCACTGTGCAGTTCAGGCTGGCCTTGAGCTTACTTTGTAGCCCAGGCTGGTCTCGTACTTGCAACAATCCTCCTGCCTCAATCAGTCCATCTTATACTGAATAAATTTGATAAAGTTGTCATTTTTATATTTCCTGTTACATTATCTTCTAAAAATTAATGAAAAAATATGCAATTTTTGGTCATCCTGTATTTAAACAATTGGACTGCTAAGTGGTTAAGGAGAAGCCCAGGGCTGACACCTTCTCACTTGGTTTGCTGCTTACAAAATTGTTCTTATTTAACAATATGAGTAAACTCAGATTTAGGATAAAATACTTAGTATTAAACTATAGTATGTGAGCGTTTGCTCTGTGCCGTAAACTTTTCTGAAGATGTATTAGTTCTCAGAACAACCTTCCTGGTAAAGACAATTGTTATCCCCTTAATAATGAGCCATGAAGAATGTCTCCAGGTTTACGCAGTTGTCTGGGGATTCAAACCCAGAAGGTCTGACTCCAGGTGCTACAGTCTTAATGAGGCAGCAGCTGGGTATCAGTTATTCTGCAAAGGATTGCAATAAGACTCCTATAACATCTATGCAAAATCATACCTCATTTCCCTGTTGATCCAGATCTTGTTCTTCCTGTTCCAAACATAAAAATGTATGTTAGATATGAAATTGCACACCAATAAACAATGAGACAAACAGTTATACAAGATGGCCACATCTTACAGGACAGGGCCCCCAAGGCTGTGTCTTCAGGTGCCCCAAGACCCTAAAGTGCATTCAGTGTTTGTGTGTGTTTACTATTTCAGAAAGCACTGGCCATCAAAGAGAAAATGGGGGCCAGGGATAGACCTCAGTGACACAGCACCTGCCTGGCAAGCGTGAGGTCCTAAGTTCAATTTCCGGTACAAAAAAAAAAGAGAGCAAACAGGTAGTGCTCTGAAGCCAGGAGAGGAGGGATGTTCCACATGAAGTATATGGCAAAGCAACAAAAGCTGTAAGGACAACTTAAAATAACTGAGCTTGACTATGTTCACTGGGAAAAGAAGATAGAAAATTCTTTTCTTTTTTTTTTGGTCTTTTTGAGATAGGGTCTTGCTATGCAGTTCAGGCTGGCCTTGAACTCACTCTGTAGCCCAGGCTGGTCTCAAACTCACAACGATCCTCCTGCCTCAGCCTCCAGAGTGCTGGGATTACAGGCGTGCACCCAGCTCTGAGTATGGAAAATTCTAATGATAACTTTTTATTTTTTAATCTCTCTTTAAGTTTTAGAATAAACTTTTCAAATACTAAGATACACAATTTAGTGAACATACATAAGAAAAATCTATGGCAATAACCTACTGTCTCAGTCTAGTCAGGCTGCTGTAAGACAGTAACTCAGACTGGATAATTTATAAACAGAGATCTACTTCACATGGTTCTACAGTCTGTAAGTCCCAAGATCAGGACATCAGCAGATCCAGTGTCTGGTGAGGTATGCCTCAAAGGGACTGCTTTGTTGCTGGCTCACATGGAAGAATAGGTGTTCTTTTCCCTTTAGCCTCTTTTGTAAGGATTAATCCTGTTCCTATCACTTTGGGCATTGAGGATCCAACCCAAGATTTTCAACAGGGAATACCAACATTCAGACCATAGCCATGGAACACTAGTAACACCTCTTATGAATATTTTTAGGTCCAGAGTTTGCAGAACAAATTACAAAATATGCTAACAGTGTAAAAATCTGAGAGCCAGAATGAGTTGTGGAATTCTTAAACAATAACACTCTGTTCAATAGATAAGAAAAGTAATACAAAATCCCTGTAGTCATCACCTATGATAAACTAAGCACAGAATTGTAACTCAAGCTTTAAACACATAAAAACAAAGCTGATCATAAAAAATACAAAAAAAAAAAAAAAAAAGCAAGCAAGGTGTGGTGCTGGCGCCCGAAATGGGGTGGGAGGACCTCAGTCAGGAGGATCACCCTCAGTTCAAGGCCAGCCTAAACTACATAGCAAGACCCTGTCTCAAAAAGCCAAATATACATACGTAAGTAAATGCTCAGAATTTCAAGATGCAGCTATTCATGCAAGAAGATGCACTTAAGTTTGGGCTTCTTCACATAAAACAAGGAGGCAAACATCTTTGCTGGAGAAACATTACTTTCTCACTGCTTTTCCAACTGAGGAACTGGCCCTTGAACTCTAGCTACTTAAAATTCAACATTACATAAAACAATACAACATACAATCCTATAGAAAATTCTATCTTTAACATAATCCCAAATCCTGGTATGATTTTAACGAAGCTCCCACTACAATCAAATAAAGCCATTTCAGAAAACTGATTCTTTTTTTTTTTTAACTGAGGTTTTATTAAAGGAAGGAAAAAAAAAACAGCTCTACAGAATGAGGTTTGGCCAGGTAAAAGTAGGAAAAGTAGTACACCCTACAGTATGAGGGCAGGCCATACGCAAGAGAGAATTCCGTAGCAGAAACCTGATTATTTTCTAAAGACATGTGATACGCTTTTATCAGCTAGGATTAGTATGTTTAGGGAGTGTAAATTTAGCCTGTCAGGTGGTACTGCGAAGATGACTTGCCCTTAACAAGAGGCTTGCCGTTCATGCTGGTTTCAGTACTCAAGTCCAGGGCTAAGGACCCTGGATGGCTGGTCACCATGGAGCCCAGTGTGGCAGCCTTACCTTGTCATCATGCGGATCATCTACAGCGAAGTCTTGTAACTCCTGAGTTAAAACCTCAAGGGATTGAGTCTCTTTCTTAATGCCATCTGAAACCCTCTGTCCACCTCTAGGTTTCTGGGGCTGTTTCTTTATAGGTTCATCCCTTGTTTTTCCTTTCTTCCCCTTTTTCCCTTTTTCTTCTTTATTTGAACCTGCAGACTAATTCGTAGAGGTAAAAACCAGTTAATGCTGTCATTATCAGTATTAAAATGGTGGTGAGAACATATGACCATGGATAAGCTGGATGCCCATGGAAAAGCAAAAGAAATGCTTTTAGATATTACTTACTCCCAGCAATTTCATAATAAGTTCACGATCTTCTTCATCCTGATCTTTGTATTTTTCCTTCATTTTTTTCATTTTACTCTATGAAAAGAGATTTGGGAAATTTAGCAATAAAAAAGTCAAATATTTGTGAAGAAAGGCCCTTTTTAAATTTTCTAAATGTTTTTGAGTCAGGCAGAGTGATGCATTATCTCCTCAGAGGCTGAGGCAGGAGGGACTTATTAATACCCTCTCAGAAAAAGAAAACAGAACCAAGAAAATCCATCTCAAAAGTAAATAAATAAATAAATAAACAAACAAACGTAAGTAAGGGCTGGGGTGTAGATCAGTATAGTATTTTGGGTTTGATTATAGTGTAACAACAAAGAAACTTGAAAATGGAACCACTTTCACTAATAAAAATTATGGAGTGCTTCAAGGTAGATAAACCATAGTCCTTATCCTCATGAATTTACCATATGATAAAGAAAAAATATATATAGAAGTAAAGACCAAGCCAGGTGTGATAATGCACACCTGTAATCTTGGTTCTCCGGGAGGCTGGCACAGGGGGATCATAAATCCGAGCCTAAGCTGGGTATGATTATGCATGCCTGTGCTCCCAGCACTCAGGAAGCTGAGGCAGGAAGATCAAATCCAGTCTGAGGCCACCCTGGGCTACACAGTGAGTTCAAGCCCAGCCTGAACTACCAAGTGAGACCTTGTCACAAAAAACCTAAACCAAGTTCCAGCCCAGCTTGGATAATTTAATAAGACTGACTCAAAGTAAAAAAAGGGCTGGGGATGTAGCTCACTAAGAAAATCCTGGGTTCAATCACCAGTACCAAAGAAAAAAAGGGTAAAACAACATTTGAAATACTATAAGAAAAATGCAAACAAATTATCTCTAAGATAATTTAGAAAAAGAAGACATTATTTTCAATTTTACATGAATTATGGAGAAATAAAGTAAAACTTAAAAGTGTTTTGTCTCGCTTTTTTGAGACTAGGTCTTGCTGTGTAGCCCAGGCTGGCCTTGAAATCTTTGTCCCCCTGCTTAAGCCTCCAGAGTGCTGGGATTACAGGTGTGCACCACCACGCCCCGCTGAAAGTTTTTTTTAAGAATATATTCCAGGATTTGGGAATACAGGAAAAGGAAGAGTAAAAACGTAAAGAGTAGTAATAATAAGTCACTATATTTGGTTGGAATCCTGGTCCATACAAGGGGAAGAATAGGAAATAAACAGCAGGGCGAGACCAGGCACACACTCGAGGTTCTGAAGACTCTGAATCGGGATGAGTGTGTTGCTCAGTGGAACAGCACTCGCCCAGCATGTGTGAGGCCCTGGACTTGAGTCCCACTATGGCCAAAATAAATCCTAGTTGAGTTAAAATTTAGTTTCTCCGTTTTGCTGCTCGAGCTGGAGCCCATGGCTTCATACACACAGGGCAAGCTCTCTGCCCCTGCTCTGCGTCCCATCCCTTTAAACACAGCTTGCTGCTAGGATGCTCAGCCTGGCCTTGAACTTGCAATCCTCCCGCACTGGCTTACCTGGGATTGTGCGAACGTGCCCTGTGCCTGGCCTAGGTAGCATTATGAAGGTATATTCTGTACCTACTACCTCTTCATCCTCCCTTTCAATAAAATACGATATGTGCTATATACACTCTAATCAAGAACTCTACAACACATGTGTGACACACGCCTGTAATCCCAGCACTGGGAAGGCTGAGGCAGGAGGACTGTGTTGAGTTCAAGGCCAGCCTGCACTACACAGTGGGACCCTGCCTCAAAAAAAAACAAAACAAAACCCAAAATAAAACTCTAACTGAAATCACGCTGATAGCTGAAAAGAAACTACTAAATGTCAAAAAAGATGAGCTATGAGACTGGAGTTCTAGCTCCACAAGAGTGCTTGCCTAGCACAAGCAAGGCTGTGGGTTCAGTCTCCAAACTACAAAGAGACAGGTGACTTTGGCAAATTACAATCTATTATTCTCACAAAATGAGAGCTTCTGTGGAGATGATCTTATAGCTCTAAGGATCCTGTCCTAGGGTCTCTGTGTTTCCTAACACTGTACCTTTCCAGTTAATTTTCTTTCTTTCTTTTTTGGAGACAGGGTCTCACAGGGTAGCCCAGGCTGGCCTTGAACTCACTATATAGCCCAGGCTGGCCTAGAACTCTCGGTGATCGATCCTCTTGCCTCAGTCCCAAGTGCTGAGTTTAAAGGTATGTACCATCACATCCAGCTTTCAGTTAATTTTCAAAGTCACATAGGATTTTTTTTTGCCTACATCTATTTCAGCTAAACTCTTAATAATTAAGAAGAACCTCACAACTTCATTTGAGAACCCTAGTGTACTACCGCATCAGTCCCAAGTGGGTTACCTTTTGTCCTCGCTTCATTGGCTGTACACCTGCATTTCTGCTTGTGTTCTGATGAGCTTCAGTGTGTACGGCACTTTCTTTCTCTTTGTCCTTTTCTTCTATCACTTCTAAATCTCCAGAGTCACTTGGTAGTTTTTTCTTCTTCATTTCCCTAAATATAAAAGTAGTACAAACATTAAATTCCTAGAACTTCAAATTCTTAGTGCCATAACAAAATTACAGAGGGGGAGGGCTGGGGATTTAGCTCAGCGGCACAGTGCCTGCCTGGCAAACACGAGGTTGTGAGTTCGATTCCTGGTACTGTGGGGGGGAGAATTACAGAGGGGAAGGGAAACATCAATAGTATGTAAAAGATCATGGCTTCTGCTTAACTTGATCATCTCCAGGCTACAATATACTAACGAGCTCAAATAATCACATTCCAAAAAACTGAAAACTTTTCATATCCTGGGTTTATTTTTCTGTCATTGGCCAACACACTGTCACACTTGGCTTATCCTTACTTAACTAGGTGCATTCACTTAGCTGGGAACGTTTAGGCCAGGCACTGCGATTTAGTCTTTGTATCAAAATGGGCTTGACAACTCAGACATTCAATAAAACATCTGTTGATTGGTTAAATAAGTGTATGTAAAAAGTAAACAGATTAAGCAGGAGGGGAACACTGAATTGCTTTGATTTTTCTTTCTCTTCCCAATGCCACCATCTTCGTCCAGGTCCTGACCACTTCCTCTCGCTGAGCCCCACACCCTGTCCCACCTGAATTTATATATTAATCTTCCTCGTCAGACCACTTTCAGAATAAAGTCCTAAATGTTTAGCTTACCATTCTAAATCCTCAATTTTTGTCCAAATTTACTTCTACAGTCTTATCATCTACCAGTTCACAACCATGAATGTTCTTTTCCATTCACCTCAGTCTATCTTATCAGGTCCCCAAAGCATCGTACATACTACTCTTCTCCCCTTTGCTAGCTAACGCTAATTTTTCTTGGAGTCTCTCTCCTTGTCTTCTTGTCCCAAACTGCTACTTTATCTTCAAGCTACACTTCTAGGGCCTGGGGTGGTAGTAAGGATTAAACCCAAAGGCACTCTACCACGGAGCTGTGTCTATATCCCCAGGCCTATTTTATTTTGATACAGGTTCTTGCTAAGTTGCCCCAGTAGGATTCAAACATGCAGTCCTCTTGACTCAGCCTCCCAGCTGCTGGGATTACAGGCATGTGCTACTGTGCCCAGGTCCAAAGGTGTACTTCCGATGGTATTTCCCAAGACAGCTCAACTCAACAGTGGTCTCTTATTCCTACTGTATTACTTTCAGACCACTCGTGACTATTTCCAGGACTCAAAAGCTCTTGAAGGTGTGAACTTGATATTTTATCTCTTTACACACTCTGTGTATAGCACAGCGCCATGTACTCAGAGTTCTCTGTAATTCATTAATGGTTTTCTCACACACAAAAGTTTTATTATCTATTCCAATCTGGAAGACTTTCCTAGCGTGCTCTACTGGTAGCAGTTCCCTTCCTTTGCCTATTTGCTTCCAGAGACCTGTTCTGAGAACATAAATAAAAATTGGCTGGGTGTGGTGGCACACACCTGTAATGTGAGCCCTCAGGAGGCTAAGACAGAAGATCACTGAAAGTCTGAGGCCAGCCTGGACTACATAATGACACCCTGTCTCAAAAAAAGAAAGAAAGAAAGAATATAAATAAATAAAAATCAAAGTACTGGGATTGTAAATTCAGTTAGGAAAAATGCTTGCCTAGCCACACATGAGGCCCTGGACTCAATCCCTAGCACCACACATACATACATACATACATACATAAACCAAAGTCTACATAAAAAATTCCTAATTTCAAGTATTCCTATTTATTCCTATCAGTAGTAGAACTGGCCTGTCTACTTAATATACTTATAATCACCCATGCCCATGTTTATGCACTAAAAGTTCTGTGTTATTACTCGATCTGTCTCCTACTATCCTGACAGATTAGGTCCCTAAACTCTCAAAACATAAGAGTTCAATATCAAAATTTAAAGATTTCTGCTAAATCTTGGTAATTTTAATACAAGAAGTTTTTAGAACACTCATATTTTGACAGGTGAGCTGCGAATTGTGTTTCTGTTTTTTTTGAGCCAGGATCTTGCTATGTAGTTCAGGCTGGCCTTGAAGTTGCAGCAATTCTCCTGCCTCAGCCTCCCAAGTGCTGGCATTACAGGTGAACGCCACCACACCCCACCTGAGCTGTCAATTTTAAAAAATACAAAAACATATGCTTTTTAGGTAGAAAACACCAACGCTGCCTACCTTCTTTCCTTGGCTGACAAATGTCTTCGGCTCTGTGATTTATTATCACTCTATTAAAACAAAAGAACAAGCAAATACAGTAACATCTTTATGATTAATTTTTCAAAAGTTTAAAAGAAAATTATTTATGAAAAAAACATGATAATGGATCCATGTTTATTATTATGTGTTTTCTACAACAACCATTGAGAATTGTTGAATGATTATTCAGTAGGTCACTCATCTATAGTTCTATTTATATTCTTTAGAAGCCACTTTGAAGATACCTAAGTACAGTACAACAACTATTGATAATCTCCTACCTCTTTTGTCTGTAACTCACTATCATTTGTCTATTTGTTTTCCTGAGAAACTATCTTGTAGATAACAATATGTAAAACAATAACCATTGATAATTTCCTACCCAAAAAAAAAAAAAGAAAAGAAAAAAACATGATTTTTTAAAAGAAATTCTGAAAATAGCTTACTGAATTAGAAGATTCCTCTTTTGAAGGCAGTTTCTGGAGAGACCTATGAAAACAGAAAGAGAAGTCTACTGGCTATAAACAACAGTCATTTACAAAGTCTCAAAACATTCTCATGTCATACTCTCAATTACTTGCAATCCTACAAACTTTCAAACTTGATAAAATTAGAAAAAAAAATACAGTTAAATCATTAATCTCACCACACTTTTGTATATTCTTAAACACAGGCAGGGGGTGACTTTCACGTGCCAGGGGCTGTAGATGCTTTATATACATAAAAATCATCACCAAAACCCTGTGAAAGGCTTACTATTCCATTTTCACCAAGAGCAAAGCTGGAGCTTACACATAGACACACTCTAACACTCAATTTTGATTTTTCTGATTCCTAAGCCACTTTTCATTAGTCCAGTAATAATGCTTTTTAAGCTATGGATTGTTCATCTGGTTATTGGTGACATTAAAACTAACCTCTTTATAAATAAAATAGAATTATTATTTAAAAACTGAAAAAACAAAAAACAAAAAACACCGAATTGCATTTGCTAGGTTATTAGCATTTAGAACCATTTGCTTGTCTGTATTTTAATCTACAATGGCCACTTTTGTATTTTGTACTCTTCTACCCTGGCCCTGGGAGTTTCTTTAGACAGAGACCCAACTGAATGTTGAAAAAAGAAAGCAATGGGGAGTAAAAGTATGAAGTCAATCTGGGATTTTTTTTTTTTTTTTTGGTCTTTTTGAGACAGGGTCTTGCTATGCAGTTCAGGCTGGCCTCAAACTCACAACGATCCTCCTGCCTCAGCCTTCTAAGGGCTGGGATTACAGGCGTGCACCACCACACCTGGCTAATCTTGGATTACCTTATAAGGATTAGCTTATTATCATTTTAAGTTTACAAATAAAATTTGAAATTACACCTTTTTAATTACCTTTGGGATTGAAGATGAGACAAGTCAATGGTAGTATCAGGATACTCCATCCCTTCCTCTTCATCCTTCAGGTCACCAATAGGCTCCTGATCTTTTAGGACTTCTTCAGATTCTCCTTCATCTTCAGAGCTTTCTTCCTGACCCAGTCCCTCATTTATTTTATCTACATCAGTCTGAACAGTAACATCCTCTTGGCCAACATGAGTCACTAGTTCTGCTTCGACAGGTGCTTCACCTAATTCCTCTTTATCTTCGTCACTACTGGTGTTGCCTCCGTCTGTAGTATTACGTAAGGAAAGTCAGTGCTGTATAGACCTACCAACAATGTGTGATTTTTTAAGAAAACTTCATAAAAATATTCCATTAACTCCATACTTCTCCAGAAGATAACCAGAAAAATGCCTGATCATTCCCAAAGGGTACCACCTGGACTTACACAAAAAAATCATCTGTATTACAAATAAGTTGGATTATCTGATCCCCAACATTCTCTTACCATAATAAATTTCTTGGACACTGCTACTATTTCAGCAATCAAAATCACAACTTGCCTTGCCTGGCTACTTCCAAAAATCAAGACAATAAAGTTAGTTGTAAAAAGTCTGTAGCTTTTATAATTTGCAAATGAAAACTAAAGTTAATACATGATATGTAACTGACACATCAAAAGTACTCATACTATGAATGTTGTCTAATAATAATAGGCTCCAGTTGCCTCACCTATAAAATAAGATGCCACTACCCATCTTTCAAGGATGGTTATGAAAATTTTATAACACTGTATATAAAGCACTTAATACAGTGCCAGCAACATGGTGAGCATTAATCATTAGAATCTGATAAACAACAGTTGTAAATGAAATAATGCAGTATTTATTTCTAAAAAGGAATGACCCTAAGAGAGAGAATAGCTGAAAGACTAGTTTAAGGGCACACTTTCTCTAGATTCCTCAGGTTGGTGGATAAATTTATTCTAGCAACTAGAGGTGCTTCCTCCTCGACGCAAATATATTGTTAAATCAGCCAAAATTCTCACATAAGAAATTGTGCTTGCTACAAATTCATCCTTTTATCATTTCTAATTGTTGCTGCTCCTAAATGTAAATGCTAGTTTACATACCTCAATCTATCTTTGGTAAGAACATTTATGGATTACCCATTAAATACTGAAGTTTTACAGCTTAAAGATATACTACATAGATCCAATTAAATACTTTGTAAGTCGCTCGAGTAAGTATATTTCACATTTCTATAATACAAAATTCAGTAAAACTGACAGCATTTAGTTTCTGAAAATTTTCAGAGCTGGGTGTGGTGGTGCACATCTGTAATCCTGTTACTCGGGAGGCTGAGGCAGAAGGATCACTGTGAGTTTGAGGCTAGCCTGAAACTAGTAAGTCCAGGCCAGCCTGAACTACATAGTGACACCTCATCTCAGAAAAACAAAACAAAAATTTCAGTTATCCCCAAAGAGACAAGAACACCTAAATAAGGATTCTGACATAAAACTAGAAAATAAAAAGCCCAGTTTATTAAAATTTGTGAACTACCTAGTTGTTCCATTTCTTCTGACGTAAGTTCACTTGTGCAACTTTCCAGTGTCTCCATGTCTTCATCCTGCACTCTGACTTTTCGTTCACCCCGATGTCTCCAAACACAAGACTCATCTACCTACAGAAACAATTCTTTCTTATGAATGGAACTTTAGGTAGAATTTATGAAAACTTAAAACAACCAAACAAAAAAAGAAGCTGACGGGTACCTTAAAGAGGAAACTAAATCCCATCATTAGATATGAGGGAGGGAGGAAATTCTTCTTTCCTACAAAAGATAATGCACATTGATTGTCATTTAAAAATCTGTTTTCTCCATTGTTTGGTCTGTAATATCTGAAGCCAATGACCATATCCATTTTGTCTTTCATTCTGACATGAAGGACATTTCCCACTTGTAGAATGTAATTACTTTTATTAAAAAGCTCAGGCTATGAGGCTGGGTGGACTAGTCATTTTTGTTCTGAGTTCCCAGGAGGAACTAAGGGATCGTGCAAAGGTGGGGGAACATCCAAGTTCATATGTCTGTTAGGAATTCTGCAAATATCTTGAGGCCCCTGAAGGTGTATCTTTGGGAAAATGAAATTGTAAACTCTGAGTTGCTCCTTTAGGTGCTGAAGACTGTGCACCTGGCTCCCACAGGCTCCTGGGAAGCAGTTCAAAACCGGCCCTGGTGTGATCAGTAAGATGCCTTTGGCTTTCATCTGTACATTAAGGATATTAACTATCGGGGGAGGGGGTCCAGCCACCACCTTTTCAGAGGTGGCTGCATCTAGTGTGTGTGATGCTGGGATTACTAAATCAGTCCCCTGATTGGTTCGGCACTGCCCTAATTCCAGTAGCCTAGAAAGAGTATGAAAGGGGCAGAAAGAAGCTGCTAAGGTTCTTTACTTGCTATGATACCTTCTGCTGCCAAGAAATGTTTGTCTTCTGCAATGCCTTTCTGCCACGCCACCCTGCCTTGGAATCAGCCAACTACAGACTGAAATCTCTACAAACTGTGAGCCAAATAAACCTTTCCTCCCTTAATTTTGGCTGTTGGTATTTTGTCTCAGCAACAAGAAAAGAGAGGCAGAGTCGAGGGCTGGCTGAGTCTGCTGTGGGCTCACAGTTCCTTCCCACACCTACAGAAGTCTCTGGGTCTCCCACATTCTATCCCCACGTGTGCTGTGCCTCTTTCTTGGGACTGTCTTTCGTGAGGGCAGGGCCCATCCTGAGCACCGTCCATCCACGGCTGCCTGCTCCAAGGGGTTTAGCAGAAGCTGAGATGGGTGGGTAAGCAGGCTGGGAACACACCCAAGGAAGGGGCCAGTCTGGGTGTCCAGCTGTCAACTGAGAGTCTTAACTTTGAGGAATATCCAGACACAAGTGCCCTTGGCTGCCCAATGCGAGGCACACCCACCGTGAACAGGGTAACTCTGGTCATCAGATCAAAGCAGTGAGTGCTATACTCTCAAAACTGGCTTGTATGCCTCTCTCGCTGTAAGACTGTCTTGGCAACTGCCTGGAACCTGTGCACGTGGGTCAGTCTATCCGCTGAGCATGAGGAGGTGCCAGAGCTCTTAGACTTAGCACCCCTCCCTACATCCAGGTCCAGCCCTGAAACCAACGCGCAACAGCTCTGGGTGGGCGTAGGAGTTACCAGGTCCCAACCACCTCTTTATGCCTTGCTGTGCCCAAGGTGCCCCAACAGGGTGTTGTTGCCATGGAAGCTCCCCTCGAAGGGTGTCACCTAGTCCCTGGAGCCTGCTCTGAGCTTGCCCTGCTGCCTAAGAACTCCCTTGAGGGTAAAAGCAGGCAGGAAAAGGGTTGCCCCACCCGCTGGATCAGGTACCTGCCGACGTCCCTTTCTCCTGGGTACTGTGCTGCCACAGGACTTTGGCCTCCCCTGGACTGGCCTGCCCTCATTTTCCTACTGCCAGACACCGATACCTGAGCTGGAGTGAGGGGCCTGGATCCCATGGGAGAAGGAACGGAGGAAAGGCGCTTCTTTCCCTTCCCTCTTTGGGGAATGGGGGTGGGGGAAGGTAGAGGGCAGGGGGTGTGAGTTTGGAGAAGAGGAGCGGAGACCTTCAGTGTTTCCCTGCTGCCTTTGTATTCTAATGTTCAATCATTTAGCTAGACTGTATTTTCATTCATTCATTCATTCATTCATTTGGTCTTTTTGAGACAGGGTCTCGCTATGCAGTTCAGGCCGGCCTTGAGCTCACTTTGTAGCCCAGGCTGGTCTCAAACTTACAATGATCCTCTTGCCTCAGCCTCCTGAGTGCTGGGATTACAGGCATGCGCCACCATGCCCAGCAAGAGTGTATTTTAATAACTGCCACCTAACTTCTGTGTCCTGTATGAGAGGTTCCTATCTAAACTTGTCTTTTGAGATTAAAAAACAAAAAGGCTGTACTTTCTCATCCTTGTAACTAAACTGTGCAAGTGCATTCTCAACAATAAAAATAGAGATGACATAATACTAAAATTTGCCACAGGAAGGCAAAACTTTGCTTATCTCATAACAGATTTCATATATGAAATCAGTTTCTGTTCTGAAAATACTTGTAGATGGTTCTCAAACCTGTCTCCATAATCCACTGGCAAGTCAGGGATATCAATTATTACCTCTTATCATGAAGCTTCCGGTTGTCAAATATTCTCCAGTTGGTGCTGTTTTAGAAACCTAAGCAAGGAACACAAGGATGTATTACATTTCTTACCTTAAGAAATACTGAGAGTTTTCTGCACCCAAGAGGAGCAAGCAGTCATATTCAAATGAGCAACACAATGTCCCGAAAAGCATAATTTACCAAAAATCTTCACACTGAAGGACTGTTACCCTTAAATGATATACCTTGGGAACCAACAAAGAAATAAAGCGTCTACTACATCAATAATTTTCAAAAGCCATGGACTACAGCCAGAACTACCCCACTCCTTTCTTCCACTATGGGATGTAAGGAGAAATTAAAGATAACTTAGTAAGCACAGCACAAAGCTACAATAACTAAAATAAAACTATATTAAGGGGCTGGGGATTTAGCTCAGTGGCAAAGCGCCTGCCTGGCAAGTGCAAGGTCATGAGTTCGGTTCCTGGTACCGGAGAAAAACCAAAAAACAACAACAACAACAAAAAAAAAAAACTATATTAAATCCTTTTGAGAAACTTTTTGGTAATAAAATAGTTTTTCATTTCAAGAAACAAGAGCCGGTTTTCAAAACACCCTAAAATCAATTAATCAATCACATCCTAAGTTGGGAGCGGTGGTGTGCGTTTATCATCCCGGCTACCTGGGAGGCACAGGACTGCAAAACTGAGCCCGGCCTGGGCAAACCCAGTGAGGCTCTGTCCAAAAAAAAAAAGAGTGTGCATGTATCTGTCACTAGTACAACAAACGAGTGAACTTACTCTATGATTTTAAAACACTTTTATGCATCTTCAAACCTTCAAATCTGACCAAATCTTTGTCATAAAGTTATTAAAACATCATTTAAAAAAATCTCATAAAAGAATCAGAACTACTTTTGTAATAGTGCTGTGGTAAAAAATTATAACCTATAAGTATTATTAATTCCCTAAGAAAATAATATAGCAGATAATAAATATCAATAGCTATAGTAGAACAAAACTAAATCTGAGGGAAGATAATGGAATTGAACTTATCCTATTGTAAAGTTTTAGGATGTTGCAAAAGTATATCTTTATCAACTTGAATTCTTGAAACTATGAAATGACTAGCAACGTGAAGTCAAATATGGAATGAAGCCTCATCAAATAAACAGTATTAACCACAAAGGGCCATTACTAAAACCAAGAGAATACAAAAAACAGGATCTATTTGCTTTTCTGGAAGTTCCAGAAAAAAAAAAGAAATTCCAGCAAAGATGAATAGGAGCAGGACCTTTCAGGCCAAAATGCCATCATAATTGGAACATTCTTTATTCTGTATAACTACATGATTACTCTTTTCATTTAGGTTTTTGCTCAAATCTTACCCAGACAGGCCTGCCCTGACACTACATTTAGAATCTAAAGTACTCAATCCAAGAAATGCTTTAAAATGTTTTTCTTGCTACCTGACATGTACATATTTCTGTACACCTGAGTGTAGTAAGCTCTATCAAGGTAGGTATTTTGCCTGTTTTCCTTCTGTACCCTCCAAATTTGGTGCCCAGTATAGGTCTTAATAAATTAAGAAAAAGAACCACAGCCCTTATTACCTGATGATGGTACACCCACCAAGCACTAGTGATAACTCGCGCATCCCAAGCAGCACTGTAGCAAAGTGCCATCGTGCCCGCCTCAGTCAGTGTCCGCGGAGGGATGGGCTCTCCTGTAACAACGCTACATTTCAGTATGCAAGAGCATATTTCCCAGACAGCAGGATGTGAAAGCTTCTGTAGCATAACAGGCTCAATCTTCTTCTATCTTAAATATTCATACCAACTTGTATGTCAGTATCATTAAGAAGTTGCTATTTTTATTAAAACATATTTACATGCCAGGCTTTTAAATGACCTACATAAACAAAACAAATCCATCTTCTCATTTGTATCAGTAATTCTAACTTCATTCCAGAAAGTATAATTTAGAAAAATAAAAAGATCTAATCAAAGAAGGTAACAGTTTATTAATCTTTTCAAAGAATCGTGTTTTGTTGATTCTATTCTTTTCCTAGTTGTTTCATTTATTTTTATTCTAATCTTTATTATTTCCTTCTCCTAGCTTGGGTTCTCCTTTTCCAGTTTGTAAGATGCAAAGTTACTGATTTGAGAGTGTTCCTCTTTTTTATAGACATTTACAAAAAGATTAGACAACCATTGTCAGAAATCTTCCTCAAATCAGTGCTATCGTTAAGTTCTCATACACCGTGTTTTCCTTTCATTCATCTCAAAGTATTTTCTGATCTCTTTGTGATCTCTTCTTTGAGGCATCATTTATGAGTGTGTCATTCAATTTCTATACATTTATGAGTTTTCCAAATTTTTTTCCACAACTGGTTTCCCATTTTACCCCATTAAGATAAAACTTATTTGTATGATTTCAGTTATTTTAAATTTACTGAGACTTGCTTTATAGTCTATCCCAGACAACGTTCCATTGAGAAAAAAATACTTTTCTGCTGCTACATAGGGTTAAGGTTAGGGTTCTAGAGGTGCTAATTTGACTTAATTGGTTTATATAGCATTGTTCACGTCTGCTATTCTTCAGTCTAATTATTCTATCCATGACTATAAAAGTTGAATGTTTAAATTTCTAAACAGTATCATAGTCTTGCATATTTCTCCCCTCAATACTGTCTAGTTTTCTTTCATATATTGTAGGGCTCTGCCGCTGGATGCATACTGGTTTATAATTCTTATTTCTTTTTCATGGAATACCCTTTTATCATTATATCTTTTATTAATTCTTATAGTTACTCTAAAAATATTTTAAGGAAAGTAAATTCTGAGTAACAGAAATATATTACCTGTTGGATTCTTAATTACACAGCTGGTAGCTCCATGAAGATCAGCATGTACATAAATATCTCCTTAAATAAAGACAAATAAAAAAATACTTGTAAGTCTTTTTTATTTCTATTTTCTTTTTGAGATGGGGTGTCACTGTTACCCAGGCTGGTGTAGAACTGCTGGGCTCAAGAGACCATCCTGCCACAGCCTCACAAGTAGCTGTAGCTATAGGCATGCACATAAGAATCAGTATCCAATACTGAGATTAATGACCTGATCAACTGAGAAAATGTTTTAAAGAAAAGTGTGGTAGCACACAATACCAGCTACCCAGGAAGCTCAGGCAGGAGGATTGCAAGTTTGAGGATAGCTTAAACAACTTAGCAAGATCCTGTCTCAAAATAAATTTGAGAATGGCTTTGCCTAGCATGGCCATAATTTGAAGACATAAGAGCCTAGCCTAGCATGTGTGAAGGCCTGCATTTAATCTCCACTATTAAAAAAAATTTTTTGGAAGTTTAATCTTACCTACCTGATGTCAAATATCTTTTCACAATTATTTCATTCTGTTGTTGATCTCGTCCACCTATAATTAGATAGTTCTCTGAGCTAATGAACCACAGAAATTTCTCAAACCTACCAAGTGGAAAGGAAATAAAGTTAACACTTTTTCTTTACAGCTACCCGAATTCACATCCTACTTACAAACGAAACAAAGCAGGAAGCTATCCTACCTGTGTAGGATAAGACAACTTGATGTTTTATTACCTTTAAAGCATCAACCTAAAAACCTGTAATATAAGATACTCTTAAAGCAGTCTTGGAAGAAATTAAATTCTATGTTTTAAAAAAAGAATCTTCTTACTGTATGTAGGACAGCCTTCTTAAACTCAAAGGTAACTTGTAATAATGAAATATACCAAGCAAAAATACAAAATGTCAAAAGGTCCCTAGGTTTACTTTCTTTAAGTGGGGCGCTAAGTAGGCTTTGGACACTTTATAAAAAAGAAAACGTTTATTCCCGCTCTTCCTCAATTAATCAACATAACTAATGTTTACGTAGATGATATTCTTTATACTTTTTTATACAAAAAGCCAAAATTTGCTCTGAGAAAGGTAAAACTGGAACTTTTCTCACAAGACAAAGTGGAATTTTATAATTAATACCATCAGAATGAAAACTATACATTTATATGACACTCAGAAAACAACAGACAACATAAACATAAATATTTACTATATTACATACGACAACAGAGATAAACTTCTGTACGGTTTATCTGTAATTTTAAAAGCTTCAAGTTAAAGATGAAAGACTGTGCACAGACACCAAACCGAACTCCCTCAGATCCCCCAAAATGTAAAAGGAGAAGGATTTTATTGCTCTTTTCTGATTTGTGATTGAGTAACACATACTCATTGTTCAAAAATTTTCAGGATTATATAAGGATACTGAGAAATCTGGCTTGTCTACTGTTCTCATCACCACTGTTAGGGAGGGAGCCACTGTGATTAGCTTCCTACATATCTCTCTCCAGTTTGTGTACACAAAATCTAAAACATTTATTCTAACCTTCTCTTCAATTTTTTAGACATATTACATGCTGTTTTCGTTTTTTTACTTAAAAATGTATCTTCCTCATTGCTGAATGGATGTATTATATTTATTTAACCACTGCCCTACTGACAGTAAAGGTGTATCTAAAAAGATAGGCAGAGAACTGAAAGAGAATGAGAGAAGTAAATCAAGAACATATTTTGTAAACACTCTAGCCGGGCATGGTGGCACATGCCTGTAATCCCAGCACTCAGGAGGCTGAGGCAGGTGGATTGTTGAGAGTTCAAAGCCTGCCTGGGCTGCAAAGTGAGCTCAAGGCCAGCCTGCACTATATAGTGAGACCCTGTCTCAAAAAGACAAAACAAAATTTAAAAATTTTTTTAAAAAATCACTCTAGTAAAGGCATATATAACAAGCCAATAAAGATGGCAAGATGGAAGACAAGAATAGAAAAGTGGAACAAAGAGAAAGCAAATATTAAGATGGATAGACTTAAACCCACAGATATCAGAGATTATATAAGTGTACTAAATGCCCAGGTAAAAAGCAAAGATTGACACACTGGAAAACAATTATAACACACACACACACACACACACACACACACTACATGCCCTTTACAACGTATAAGTGTGGAAAGGCTGAAATACAATGACAGAAAAAGATATGCCACAGAAACACTGACCAAAGAAAAATTGGCTTAGCTATATAACCCATGACAAACAAGGGAAAAAAAATAATTATAAGTTAGAAAGATATTTTATTGAAGTTGACAAAATGCTCTTTTCATCAGGAAGATATAACAGTTCCATATTTATATCACTTATACAGCTTCATCTATATAAAGCAAAAACTGGCAAAAATAGGGAAAACAAGCAACGGATAAATCCACAATGATATTAAAAAGTTCTGGCCAGGTGTGGTCATGCACGCCTGTAATTCCAGCATTCGGGAGGCTGAGGCAGAAGACAGCTGTGAGTTCGAGGCCAGTCTGGGTTACATGGTGACTTCAAGGCCTGTCTGAACTATACAGCATGACCTGGTCTCAAAAAAGAAAAGTTCGTAGGTAAAATACTGTAAAATTTTTGCCAATACACTTCAAAGTTTAGACAAAGTCTTGAAAGAACACTGCTTATACCAAAACTAGAAAATCTAAGCAGTCCTATCTACTAAGAATTTCAATCTATAATAAAAAAATTTCCCAAAAGAAAACTCCAAGCCTACTCAGCTTCAAAGGTGAATGCCATTGAATATTTAAGGACAAGTAAAAAGGAGCATGTCCCAACTTGTTTTAAGAGACAGTATAACCTTGATATCAACACCTGATATGAACTTTGCAAGAACTGAAAAATCACAGGCCATTCTATTCATCAATAGAGATGTCAAAGGCACAAGGAGAAAGTGAGGGCGTAAATATAACAAATTTTCAATATATGGAAAACACAAGAGATCAGACTCAAGAAGCCATACCCTAAACTGACAGTAGAAAAAACACAAGAAACAACCCAAACTAGTGTCTAACTCACAAACACTTCAAAGATGGCAACCCAAGTTTTCAAGGAAGGCTTAAGATGGGCTGAAAGCTCTGCTCAGTTACTTCCCTAGACCTTTGCTCCAGCTCTGAGTTTCTAACTCCCTCTCCACACTGACAGAAGCAGGGCTAACGAATATAATGCTGTATGTTTAACATTCGTAGAACAGAACAGTATAAACATCTGAAACGTCCACGCTAAAACTGCTAGCCTACCACTGCCACTTGGCTCCCTGAATGCTGACAGCCAGGTCTTAACCTGACAAGTGGGACAGAAAAAGAATCATTCTGGGACAAGAGAACCAGATGAAGCAGCAAAGAGCAGAAGACAGCAAAGGTCCGTACAAAGGTCCGTATACACTGATCACGGCACAAGCCTGATCGCCTAGACAGCTTCCAGTCAGCGGGTTTTCTTGTTCCCTTGTGAAACTGGGGACAGGGTCTCAATAAATTGCCCAAGCTGGGCTCAAAATTTATAATCTTCCTGCCTCTACCTCCCAAAGTGCTGGGATTACAGGTATTTGCCACTATGCTCAGTTCTTCAGTATTTTAATACTCTACTATAAAATATAGGTAGACAATCAAGGAATACCATATATTAATGAAGGTCTCTAATATGAAAGCTGGGAATAAAACTAACACAGATTTAAAAGGCGACTGGGTAAGGTTACAGGAAGATCTTTCATTGAAGGATACACAAAGCTGCAGTCATATACGATGGAAATGTCTAGAGATCTGATGTACAGCATCAGGACTGCAGTTAATAATACAGTATTGTATCCTGGAAATTTGCTAAGTTAAGAGGTTAGGAGCTCTTACCACCTCCCCCTCAAAAAACAGGGTAGATATGCACAGATGATGGACTTAACCACAGCAATCATTTTGCTACGCACATATACACCAAAATATTATGTACACCCGAATATACATATAACAAAACCTAAAGGAGCCTGGCAGGGTGGCACATGCCTATAATCCCAGCACTCGGGAGGCTGAGGCAAGAGGATCATTATGAGTTTGAGACCAGCCTGGGCTACAAAGTGAGATCAAGGTCAGCCTAAACTGTGCAGTGAGACCCTGTCTCAAAAAGGCAAAAAAAAAAAATTAAAAAAAAATAATAATAATAATTTGGAGATTAGTAATTAAGAATAAAACTTTTTAAAAAGCAAGCTAAGTAACTCCAAGAAAAACAAAAACTAAACAAGGAAGGAAAAGAAAAAATGTAATTTGGCCCAACTGCAATTATAATTTAAATATTCACACCAATGTTACAAACGACAAAAATCCCTCTGTAACTTGTCTGTACATAACAAAAGTGGAAACAGTGAAACTTATCTCCCATAACGGGAAGACAACAGATGAAAACAAAAATTAAGCAGCACCAATATAAGCATTTCATAAAGAGAAATGAAGGAAAATATCAAAAGAGTCATTTAAAGTTGCTAAAAGTATTTTCCTGGAGAGGGCAGGCAACAGGATCAGGGAGGAACAACAGTAGGCCTATTGTTTCTTTTGGGGTTGGTGGCTAATGGTTTTGTAACAAGCTTTGTAGAACAGCTGGACTTGCTAAATGATGTGTGTATGTATAATTCTGATAAAAACAAAAACCTAAATTTTAAAAAGGTAAAACACTTACCAATATACTTTTCTTGCTTTTTGAATAGAGGTAACTGTTTGAACTTCTTTTAGTGTTTGCTTTGTTTTCTTTTCTGCTGATTTGAATGCCTGTTTTTGAGAAAATAATTTAAACAATTTGTTTAGACTATATGCAAATAACACCAAAACAAACAATAGCTTTTATTTTATTTAATTTTTTTTGGTCTTTTTAAGACAAGGTCTCGCTACGCAGTTCAGGCTGGTCTTGAGCTCACTTTGTAGCCCAGGCTGGTCTTGAGCACACTTTGTAGCCCAGGCTGGTCTTGAGCTCACTTTGTAGCCCAGGCTGGTCTTGAGCGCACTTTGTAGCCCAGGCTGGTCTTGAACAGTTCGACTGCAACGATCCTCCTGCGTCAGCCTCCTAAGGCTTGTGCCACCATGCCTGGCTAACAACAGCTCGTAAAACATCACAAAATGGCACTATGTACATACATACATACACTCAAAAATAATAAAAATTTTGTGTCTCAAATATTAACTTGCCAAAGATTCACCATATGCAAATATTTGCTCAAGACCTAAAACTTAAGAACCAGCTTGTTCATTTACTAGATTCTAAGCGTCTACAATGCTGCAGGTGCTAGACTAGACATGGGGATATAATAGTGAACAAGACTAACAAAGTCCCTACCCTGGTGGGTTCTAGAAGACACAACTATTAAATGTACAATCATTTGAATAAACATATCGTAAGTGCTTAAAAAAAACCCTATGCCAGTACAAGAGGACTCCATTTATGCTGGATTCTGGTCAAAGAAGGTATGTCTGAGAAAACAGCACTTAAGCCAAAGCCTGAAAAACCAATGACATTTCAAAGAATAAGAAGACTACTATATGCACAAAGAAAAGCCCAGCAAGTACTAATTCAAGAGCAAAATGTCAAGGGCTGGGGATTTAGCTCAGTGGCACAGCACCTGCCCCGCAAGCGCAAGGTCGTGAGTTTGATCCCTGGTACCGGGGGAAAAAAAAAAGAGCAAAATGTCAAGAAATACTGTTGCAATAAGTAGTAGAGAGCCAAGTCATTAAGGTTATTCATTTAACACTAGTAAGTACCTATTACCAGGCATGTTCTAGGGATCAGGACCGAGCAATGAACAAAACAGACAAAGATGAATGGATGAATTATTTTTTTATTGAGACAGGATCTCGGTATGCAGCCTTGCTAGCCTCAAACTCATGATCTTCCTGTCTCAGCAACTCAGGTGCTGGGATTGTAGGTGTGCACCACTACACCCAGCAAATATTGAAAATTCTGAGGGAAAGCATTCCAGGCAGAAAGAATAGTAAGTACAAAGGCTCTTAGACGACAGCAATGCAGCACGGTTTTAGGAACAGCTATGACTCCAGCGCAGCCAGAAAAAGTGTGCAAAAAGAAAAAATGTAGGTGATGAGGTCAGAGGAAGAGATCTCAGGCTGTTAAGGCCAGGAGAAAGGCTCTGAATTGTACTAAGACGGGAAGTGCCTGGAAGATTCTGAGTAGAGAATGGACTTCACTTGTGATTTAAAAGGGTTACTACGGGTGTTATGTGAGCAGGATGCAGCACAAAAATGGTAGGTGATGCAATAAGAGAATGTATAGTCTATGTGAACACAAAGATAAGGAAGATCGCTCTGATCGCTGAAACAGAGATGTGGCCAGATTCTGGTCATCCTTTAAAGTAAGCATCAAAACGATCTGCTGACAGATTGGATATAGTTTGAGAGAAGAATTTAGGGTATTTTCAAAATTTGAGCAGAGAATGAAAGTGCTATTTGCTGAGATGGAAAAAAGCAGGGGAGGAGCAAGTTTTGGGAAGTAAGTATAGAAAATATACACGTTTAAAACAAAGTTAAGGGCTGGGTTGTGGTGGCGCACGCCTGTAATCCCAGCACTCAGGAGGCTGAGGCAGGAGGATTGTTGTGAGTTCAACACCAGCCTGGGCTACAAAGGTAGCTCAAAGCCAGCCTGAACTGCATAGTGAGACCCTGTCTCAAAAAGACAAAAATAAAATAAAATAAAACAAAATTAAATTTGAAAGGTACTTCTGATTTAGAAGGTTTCACTTTAAGCATAAAAAATGATTAGGGTAATTAAAGCAGGCAAAAATAACATTCACTCTAATAAATATTAACTACCTTCTCAGCAGCTTCAACAGTCTTTTGTGTTTTCTTAGCAGCATATCTCTTATGATCATAATACCTAAAAATAAATTTAAATTTTAAGCAAAATCTTTATTATTATTATTACTATTATTATTATTATTCTTTTGTCTTTTTGAGACAGAGTTTCCTAAGTATTTCAGGCTGGCCTTGAACTCACTCTGTAGTCCAGGCTGGCCTCAAACTTGTAGTGATCCTCCTGCCTCAGCCTCCTGAGTGCTGAAATTATAAGCGTGCAAAATCTTAACTCTTACGCTATCTATTTCCAATTTTACAGATTCTTCAATCACATAGGACAAAGCTGCATTATGCACAAAACTAAATATTAAAAGAGCTATTTTCTTTGCAGGTAAAATAACAACTGTTCTTTATATCCTTAATACTTCAAATTAACTACAAATATCACCTACCATTTGTACTTGAATAACTTACTTTTTGGCATTGGCATATGCTGACAAGCTGAGATCAACATCAATAAGCAATGGCTTATTTTTCTGAGGCTTCTGTAACTGTTTATTCTTTTGCTTTTTCTTTTTTCCTTTTGGTAGTTCAGCTTCATTTTTCTCAACACTGACGTCACCATCAACATCGTCATCTTCCTCCTCTGATAATAAGTATGGATTTCTATTAAAAATATTCAATAGTATTTCACTAATGTCAATGACATCTCTTACATTTTCAATTTTTTTCTCAATGAAATCAGAAATGGCTTATAATATTGTACTTTTTTTTTTTTCTGAGACAGGGTCTCACTACACAGGCCAGGCTGGCCTTGAACTCATGGCAATCCTCCTGCCTCAGCCTCCTGAGTGCTGGGATTATAGGCAAGCACCACCATGCATGGCTGAGTACTGTACTTTAAAAGTTTCATTACTTATTACAGTGTAATTAGTTTTTTCTATGTCTCTGAGAATAAACTTCTAAATATAAAGTCTTTAAATTTCTAAATATAAAGTCTTTGAATATAGTGAAGTAGTGAATAACAAAATTCTAACAAAAGAAAGACAAACACGAACTACTTAGCTAAGAATCAAATTTACCTTAGCAGCATTGTAACATGATTTGTTTGCAGTTTTAACTCCTTGATTGCACTTGCAACAGGGTCCCCTTGAGCTTGGGCTTCTTTCACAATGACGCCGATTTCTGTCCAGTCTATCTGATTGGCCAAAGCACTTCGAACCACCTGAATGGCTCTGTCCACTATCTGTAAGTTCATCTCTATGAGCTCTCCTTTCAGTTTGTCTATTTCCTTAAGAGAAAACCAGACACATTTACTACAATCACAGTTGAGGTTATCATTTTTTAAAAAGCATCTGAAACAGCTAAGCACAATACCTGAGCCTGCTGAAGAGCTTCTAATCTGTTTTCATGATCCTTTCGGACATTATCTAATTTCTTCAATGCTTGTTTTTCCTTTGGGAGAGAAAACATGTTATTTTAAAAGCCTAGATTTCTCCTGCCTTGTGGTACCCTCTCTCTTATCTTCTAAAACTCACTAGCCTGACTCCACTCACCCTCCTCCATGTTGTCAACTAGGGAGCTAAAGTTTCTCCCACAGTCTGCTTTCCCAAGCCTGTCCCACTCCCACCAGAAGATGCTTTATCCTCCTGTCCACGTACCTTTCCATTCCTTATACAGGAAGGTGTTCTGACTGCAGGCTACATTACTGTAAGATATGCCCCTAGCTTCTCTGGCATTATTGAAACAAGCACAATTCAAGACTTTTTTCTTATGGCATAAAAGTAAATTCTTATGGTGAAATAAGTTCTTACAGGGCATATGAACACGTTACTTGTTACTTTTAATTTTATCTGCATTATTTCCAGTATTTTAGAGACTCCTTCTACCAGTTAACAATACAGCACCAGGCATGGTGGCACATGCCTGTAAGCCCAGCACTCAGTAGGCCGAGGCAAGAGGATCGCAAGATGGAGCCCAGGTTCAGCAATTTAGTGAAACCTTGTCTAAAAATAAGAAAAAAGAGCTGGGGATGAAGCTCAGTGAAAAAACCCTGGTTCAATCCTCATTACCACAAAACAAAACCAACTAGTCAATGAAAAAGGTTCACAGTAGTTGTTCGACCTCCTGTCTACCACTTTACCATAACTTACATTCCAAGGCTACTAATATAGAGACATATTTTCAAGGCTACTAATTCCAAGGCTACTAATATAGAGACATATTTTCTCACAATAGTACCACCAGTGACTTTAAATGCTTGATGAAACACTAAAAAAATTTAAATTGTATGAATGATAACTATTAAAAACCTGGGCATTGTGCTGCATCTCTGTAGTCTCAGCACTGAGGAGGTCGAGCCAAGATAGTTCAATGCCAAACTGGGCAGTACAGTGAGTTCACAGCCAGCCCGAACCATATAGCAATACTTTGTATCAACAAACAAAACAACAAAAAACAAACTTAAAATGATTACCAAAATAAATCACTGCTGCAGGCTGAGTAAACCTTATCCTAAAAGCATGGGACCAGAAGTATCTCAGATTTTGGAATTCTTTGGATTTTAGAATTATTTGTATAGACTTTACCATTTGTGTATCTCTAACCTGAAATCTAAAACTGTCTGAGTACCAATGATGCTAAAAAAGTTTCAGATTTTGCAGCACTTCAGATTTTCAGATTAGAGATGCCCAGCCATGTTCACAAAACCACAGAGATCAGTGTGACAGCATCTGTTTAGAAGCCAAAGTACCGCCACCATGCGGTGATCACACTGTATAGTGCATCAAACTACCTGCTTTGAAATTGTACTGTCAATTTAAAACTGAAGGAAGCTAAGGATGGTGGCACATTTACAGTCCCAGCACCTGAAAGGTTCAGACAGGAGGAGTGCAAGAACAATCTCAGCCTGGGCAATTTAACAACTTGGCAAGACCCTGCTTGGTAAACAAAAATTTAAAAAAACTAAATAAAAGGGGCTAAGGACGTAGGCCAGTGTGAAGACCCTGGGTTTGATTCTTAAGTGCCACCCAAAACAAATAAAGATAAAATTAAAACAGCTGAAGAGAGCAGAGTACAGAGATTCATATTGTAGGAAATTTTTGCGTAGACATTTTTAGACTATTAATATTTTACAACAAATGCTCTAAAGGCCTGGTCAAAAGGGCTGGAAAAACAATGCATATTAAATCCTTCCTTATGGAGTCACGATATACAGAAAACATATTAAACATCTACTTTCAAACTTCAGTATTTTTAAGCAGGGGAAGAGGGGTTGAAGGGAGGAAAGGGGAGTGGGAAAAAAAGAATCACGATATATTACATGCAGGTGAATGTGATCATTATGTACATCTAAATTGTACCTACCAATAAACCTAATTTAAAAAAATAAAGCTTTTTAAAAAAAAAAATACCATGAATGATTAAAAACTTGTTTTACAGAAAAAACATTTTTCCCTTCTCTTGCCCGTTTAAAATCTCCCCAGAGTAATACGCTCATAAATGCAAAATTTGAGAACTTTTTGGTTACTTTAGTAAAGCAAACCATACCAGGGTATAAATAATAGGCCTCGCCTTCTTATTTTATTACCCGACCCTCTGGGCTTTTCTCATTTATTTATTTATTTATTTTTTTAATTTTAGAAATAAAAGGAGGAAAATACTAACAGACTGACAACATTTTACAAAATAGCATAGGATCAGTACAAACATTACAGAGTTACAAACAGAGTGGTAGGGAATTAACAATGCTTA